ACTGAGCACAAGTCAATCATAGAAAACACCTGTGCGCCCTGAAACTGGTCAAACAGATCATCAATGCGAGGCAAGGGATAACGGTTCTTCACTGTAACCTTGTTCAACTGGCGGTTGTCAATACACATGCGCATAGAACCATCCTTTTTCTACACAAACAAAACAGGAGCACCCCACGGTGAAACACTGGGTCGAATAAAACCCTTACCAAGCAATTCCTGCAACTGATCCTTCAACTCAGGAGGAGCCATACGATACAGAGGAATGGAAATGGGCTGGGTGCCCGGTAACAGATCATTGCCGAAATCAATGTCTCTATCAGGCGGCATGCCCGGAAGATCAGCTGGAAATACATCGGGATAATCCCGTACCACTGGAACAGAATCAACAGAAGGGGTATCAACACTAACATCTCTCACATAAGCCAAATACACGGGACACCCCTTCTCAACCATGAGCTGAGCTTTAAGAAAAGAGATAACTCTACATGGAGTGTGATCTAAAGTACCACTCCACTCAACACGCGGAATACCTGGCATAGCCAGCCTCACGGTCTTGGCGTGACAATCAAGAATAGCAAAGTGGGGCGACAACCAGTCCATGCCCAGAATAATGTCAAAATCCACCATACCAAGTAATAATAAGTCTGCTCTGGTCTCAAAACCACGAATAGTAACCAAACATGACCGATAAACGCGGTCCACAACAAGAGAATCTCCCACAGGAGTAGAAACATAAACGGGGGCACTCAAAGAATCCCGAGGCACACCCAAATGCGGAGCAAAGTAAGTAGACACATAAGAGTAGGTAGAGCCCGGATCGAATAGAACCGATGCCTCTCTGTGACAAACCAGAATAATACCTGTGATGACGGAGTCGGAGGCAACAGCCTCAGTGCGGGCAGGAATACAATAATATCTGGCACGGCCCCTCTCTCGAGGGCGACCTCTATCTCCCCTACCTCCGCCCCTGGCTGGCTGGGCAGGTGGGGTAGCAGCGGGAGCTGTGACCATAGCCTGAGAACTTTGAGGAGCACGCTGTGGCTGGGTAGTCTGTGAAGATGCACCCCTACCTAGTCTGGGGCAGTCCCTAACCATGTGGCGTGTATCACCATAATCGAAGCAAGCTCTGGGAGGGCGCGGTGGCTGTGACTGGCTGGAACTAGGCCTGCTGGACTGACCTCTGGAAACACCCCGCGCAGGAGGCGCGCTAGAAACTGGAGGTGCATAGTAAGGCTCCTGTGGTGTAGGCAGAGCTGGAGTACTGCCGGCTGCTGGAAGAGCTGAATGAACAGGGCGACCCGCATAACCCCTACCATAACGACCTGCTGATGGGGTACGAGCACCAGAGTAGTGACCCGACTCTCGAGACCTCTTGGCCTCCCTCTCTCCTCGCTCCCTGGCGAGCATACCCTCAATCCTCCTAGCAATGCTCACTACCTGCTGATAAGGAAAGTCCATCTCCAACTCTCGAGCCATGCTAGACCTGATGGGCGGAATAAGGCCCTCAATGAACCTGCGAACTCTCTCTCGAACTGTAGCAACCAAAGCCGGTGCGTGCCTGGCCAACCTGGTATAACGGATGGCATACTCTGAAACTGTCATAGCACCCTGGCGCAAGTGCTCAAACTCTGTGCGCCATGAATCTCTGAGGCTCTGGGAACAAACTCTCTCATAAACATGTCCGAGAACTGGGTCCAAGTCAGTGAAGCAGCCTCGACTGGACTGTCTATCTCATAAGTGCGCCACTAATCATAGGCAGCTCCCCGAAGCTGAAAAGCAGTGAAAGAAACCCCGCTAAACTCCACTATGCCCATAGTGCGAAGAATACGATGACACTCCTCTAGAAATCCCAAGGCATCGTCTGATGCTAATCCACTGAACACTGGGGGATCGTACTTCTTGAACATCTCAAGCCTGCGCTGCTCGTCCTCTGAAGCAGCTGACCCATCCTCGGGCTGAACTGGTGCTGCAGGCGGTGCCGGAATAATCTCGGGAGCCTGCTCAACCTGCACTCGCTGCTCAGGAGTGCGGACGGCAGGAGTCTGTGCTCCACCCCCGGCCTGGGATGTGGCGGCAGCAAGGGGAAGCAACCCCGCCTGAGCCAAGGTGGTGTACATGCTCATGAACTGAGCCAAAGTCTCCTGGAGCGCTGAAGTAGTAGTGGCAGTAGTAGGTGTGTCAGGTGCCTGGGCTCCGGCTGGATCTGCTGGTGGTACCTCGGCGGCAGCTCGTGCAGGTGCTCTGGCTGCACCACGTGCGCGTCCTCGACCTCTCCCCCGGCCCTGGCCTCTAGCGGCTGCAGTAGGGGGCGCGGGTGCCTGATCATCTCGAGTGGCATGTGTCCTCACCATCTGTGAGAGAATAGAAGTCAGAAGTTTAGAATTGATGCCAAAATATGGCACGACAAGGAATTCAAACGAAACGAAGTTTTTTCCTAAACAGTTACATAGCCCCTCGTAGATAAGTACAGACGTCTCCGTACCGATCAGCGAGACTCTAACAAACCGGTCTGTGTTCCGTGACTCCTATGAACCTAGAGCTCTGATACCAACTTGTCACGACCCTAGTTCACCAACCGTGAACATGTCATGACGGCACCTGGTCCCCATGACCAGGTAAGCCTAACATTTGCGGAAATATAATAATTGTGGAAAAATAGAGAAAATCAAATCAAATATCTAAAGGAAACTGTACTGAATGCCGCTTGGCAAGTACAACTCAATATCACAAGTCTAAAACAATTCCCAAAACCCGAAAACTCACGGGCAACACAAGCTACAGAAGTGTATAGTAAAGGTTCCAAACTCCAGAACTTCTAGCAACCGAAAGAAGGAAAACTTAGTACTAAAGATAGAGTAAGAGGGAGACTCGTCTGTCTGCGGACGCAGCAGATCACCTCGAAGTCTCCGTAGTCCTCCTGCCTCACTGATAGTGCGCCTGAGTGGAGGTACCTGGATGATCTGCACATGAAAAACATGCGCAGGAAGGGCATGAGTACACCACAGCGGTACTCAGTAAGTGCCAAGCCTAACCTCGGTTGGGTAGTGACGAGGAAGGTCGGGGCCCTACTGAGACAAAATATAATAATAATAACAATTTAACAATATAAAAATCTGACAGATATAATAAGTAAAGCAGTGAGATAAGACAAGTCAACGAGGCTATAACAACTACATGAGTACAGAATAAACACAGAGTAAACACAGCTCAATGCCAATGATAACAATGAGGGTCTCCCAGGATACCGTCCTGTAGCCCTTTTCTCATCTGTCCAGTGGATCTCCCGGGATACCGTCCTGTAGTCCATCATATGTGTACATCCGAAGGATCTCCCGGGATACCGTCCCGTAGTCCAACAACCAATGTGCAGGGGGATCTATCGGGAATCTAACCCGCAGTCCCAAAGTAAAAGTGCAGGGGGATCTATCGGGAATCTAACCCGCAGTCCCAAAGTAAAAGTGCAGGGGGATCTATCGGGAATCGAACCCGCAGTCCCAAAGTAAACAAACAAGGGGAGGGGGGGAGCTACCGGAATCCCACATCCGTAGTCCCAATGTAAATGCGCAATCACAACTAGAAGGTACACGGAAACGAAGTACAAAAGACAAGCAACAGGTAGTACTGGCCTAGCATGCTTCACGTAGTACAGTTAAGGCAACTTAAGCAATTAGGCAAGTTAAATCAACTAAACATGCTTTCCTAATCTAGCACAGGTTATAATTGCAAGTAGAATAAAGCAAATATGAAAGGAACTCAATCTCAATATCATAAGAAAACCGAATTTTCAACAATTGGCTCAAGTACGCGCGTGTCACCTCGCGTACAAGGCACTCAAGTCAACAAATAACAAATCCTAAGGGGAATGGTCCCCCACACATGGTTAGACAAGCCACTTTCCTCGAACCGACTCAATATCACTAGAAACCGTGCCTTTGCCACGAGTATCCGACTCCAAATGGCCCAAATCCAATGATTTTCTCTTCAAAACCCACTCAAAATCGTCTTTTCCCGAGCTCTCAATCGATTTTCAAACTTATGAAATTAAACCCTCGAAATTGATATTTTGAACAGTCATTTCCGCTTCTGCGAACAAGGGACCGCTTCTGCAGTCCCGCTTAAGCGGAAAGCCAACCGCTTCTGCGGTTTTCATTAAAAGGGGCAGGACCACATCTGCGGTAGGTGGGCCGCTTCTGCGGCTTCGCTTCTGCGGAAGTGGCACCGCTTCTGCGGCTCCTGAGGAAGGGGGCACAAGCCGCTTCTGCGACATCCAAGGCCGCTTCTGCGGCCGAGGCCCCCGGGACCTCAACCAAAAGCACCAATACCACCTAATACCTTATTCAAACCTGTACCAATCCTTTAAATACCTAAAACAACACCGGAAACTCGATTAAATCAAAGATTCAAGCCTAAGAACTACAAGTTTCTTCCAAATACGCTTTCGATCAAAAACCTAACCAAAACACGTCCGAATGACCTAAAATTTTTCACACACATCCCAAATGACATGACGGAGTTACTACAATTTTCGGAATTCCAATCCGACCCTCGGATCAAAAACTCACTATCAAACCGGAAACTTCAAAAATTTAAACTTCTGCATTTCAAGCCTAAATGAGCTACGAGCTCATAAAATACATTCCGAACACGCTCCCAACCCCGAAGTCACCTAACGGAGCTAACGGAACCATCGGATTTCCATTCCGAGGTCGTCTTCATACTGTTCCGACTACGGACCACTTTTCAACAATTAAGCTCTCATTTAGGGACTAAGTGTCCCAAATCTTTCCAAAACTCAACACCGAACGTCCCGGCAAACCAAAATAGAAGAAATGAACTTAGGGGAAGCAGTTAATGGGGAATCGGGGCGTAATTTCCAAAACGACCGGCCGTGTCGTTACAGTTGGCTTCTTCCACAGCAACACTGTTGGCATAAGTTCTTCCTCCTGCTCCTGCTGGTTTCTTTTTGCTTTTGAAATCAGCGGGATATCCAACAATTTTTTAACAGTTTTCCTTTAGGTGTCCTTTGTACCCACAGTGATCACAGATTAGCCCTGCTTTCTTAGGCTTGAAGCCTTGAGTTCTTCCTGCTAACATAGTTAGAGGATCTCTATTTGCATCACCAACACCCAAAGATCTTTGACTTTCTTCATGTGTTACTATAGCATATGCTTCATTTACAGTTACTACAGGTCTTCTTGGCAGCACATTACTTCTCACATTACTATAGCTTTCATTCAATCCCATTAAAAATTGTAATAACCTCTGATTAGCAAGATGTTCTATGGATGGCCTAGCTTCCTCACAATCACATGAAGACAAAGGAACTAACACATCTAGTTCACTCCATAGATCATTCATCTTCGAGTAGTAAGTAGTCACAGAATCTGTACCTTTTTTTAAGCTAGCAATTTCTATCCACAGGTGATATATTCTAATCAGACTTCATCTATCAAACCTTTCCTTGAAATCGCTCCACACTTTCCTCGCACTAGATGCAAACATGATGCTGGGCGTCGATTCAGCTGCAACAGTGCTACCAATCCATGAGAGTACAATCGCGTTGCATTTCTCCCATTGTTCTGCTAGCTCCCCTCTGAACATAGTTTTTACACAGGTTCCGTCAACAAATCCAAGCTTACCTTCATCGCCCTACTCCACAAGGCGTAATTCTCCGGCCCTGTGAGTTTGATTGGGACTAGAACTAGTCCTGGTGCATCTGCTACTTGAAGAAACAACGGATGATTATGTTCGAGTGAAGAAACCTCATTTCGTTCCATCGCGATTTAGTCTAAGACAGTTGATTTCGTCAGATCTCAGTTCAGTGGTCGCCGGAAGTTACGTCGGAGCCCTAAATTTAGAATCGTTGCTTTGATACCATGTTAATTTGAGCTAGATTGAACAACTAAAACACTTCACGGCACGTGTAAGAACAATTTCCATTGATTGAATTGGAAGAATCTAGAGAGAGAAATTTTTTGCTTGAGCTAAGAAGAAGGTCGGTTATGTATAGGTGAATCTGATTTCCAGATTTACTGTACTTATATAACGACCTGTTTTCCTTTTTACATAACTAACTACCCCAAACTTCCTAATATTATATTTTGACCCCTGACTCTCAATAATAACCAACACTTATAGTCCCACCTCAATTTTACATCGTCTTTACATTAGATATTTCATTCTTTCTCTGTCTTTATTTTCTCTCAAGATAGCACAACAAAGCATATTAAAGGTACTCGCCCTCATATATATCATGTTGAATTGAATGGAATTTGATTGTCCCATTTCTATCTAAATCTTTGAAAAGTGACATAAAGAAAAGGTACTCCCTCCGTTCCAATTTATGTGAATTAATTTGACTGGGCACGGAGTTTAAGAAAAAATAAAGAATTTGGAATTTGTGGTAAACAAATCAAAAGGGGCCTAGAGTATTTGTGTTGTTATAATAGCTTCTCAATAAAGGTAAAATTGTATGTTTAAGCTAAATTATTTTCAAATTTAAAAAGGGGTCATTCTTTTTTGAACTGATCAAAAAGAAAATAAGTTCTTATAAACTAAAAGGGAGGGAGTATGTAACGACCCCACCGGTCGTTTTGAGCTTTTGCACTCTGATCGCCAGTTTTCAGGCATGACTTGCCCCGTGTTATGTATTACGACTAATGTAGATCGTTGGTTTTGGTTTTCAGGAAAATTTGGAATGAATTTGAAAGAACAGTTTCAGTTGAAAGGTTTGAATTTGAAAGGTTTGACCAAGAGTTGACTTATTTGTATATGAGCTCGGATCGGAGTTTTTATGATTTGGTTAGCTTCTTTAGGTGATTTATGATTTAGGAGCGTGATCGGAATTGGTTTTGGAAGTCCGGTGTAGAATTAGGCTTGAATTGGCGAAGTTAGTAATTTGGCGAATTTCGGTTGATAGGTGAGATTTTCATCCGAGGGTCGGAATGGAATTCTGAGAGTTACTGTAGCTTCATTATGTCATTTGTGATGTGTGTGCAAAATTTCAGGTCATTCGGACGTCGTTTGGTCGGGTTTTTGATCGAAAGAGTAATTCGGAAGTTTTAGAATTCTTAGGCTTGAATCCGAGGGTGATTCGATGTTTTGATGTTGTTTTGAGCGTTCCGAAGGTTGGAACAAGTTTGAATGATGTTATGGGGTTGTTGGCATGTTTGGTCGGGGTCCCATGAGGCTCGGATAAGTTTTGGAGGAGTTTTTGGAAGATTTTGCCGTTTTGAGCATAAGCATGTAATGATCCAAAGGTCCATTTTTAGTTCTAGAGATCGAAATTTGATTTCGAGACTTCCGGAATTTTGACAATGAATTATAGGAGTGATCTGGAAAGTTTGGTTTAATGTCATCAAGTCGCGATTGGGTTTTTGACGCGAAACATGAGTTAATTGTTTAACGAGCGAAATGGGTATCACACTGAGCAAATGAGCTCCGAATTGAGTTTCGATTGAAGGGCTATGTTCGTATTATTATTTGTGACTCATAGGAACAGAATCATCGAATTCCGAGTTTGTATGATGGAGTTAGAGCCTTTTTAATGAAATTAAAGATTACTGGTGCATCAGATCTGGTGTGCACCTTTTAGCGACCAGATTTGGCACTTTTAGTGACCAGATTTGGCTTTTTGCGACCAGAATCGGGTGTATTAGTGCTGTTCTATTTTTTCTGGGGAAAATTTCATATTAAAACAATTGGGCTGCCTCATTTTCAGCTTTATAGCCCATATTTCAATTTACAATTGAGTAGCCCAAAAATTATAGGCCTATATCTGAAAAAGGAGCGTTAATTTCTTTTTTTGGGGAGTAAAAAGCGGGATTTTCTGCATTTTCTCAGATTCTTTCCAATCTTCTTTCCCAAATACTTCAAAAACGATATCTTCCCATGAATGCAGCTCCAAAAACCCTAGATTTTCTTCTTCATCTCGAATTAACAAAAAATCAAACACGAAAAGTAAAATTTGTTTGCTGTAAATCAGCGCAATTTTAGTTTTTGCTTCAATTTTGATTTCCATTTTTTGTTCGATGGAGATTTTTCCAGTTTACGTTCTTCATAGTGGTGAATGGGAAGAAAACAAGTCTATCAATTTTGTTAGCGATTGTGTAATAATTGAGTCAACATTCACCTACAATAATTTAGTTGCAGCTATTTCGGAACAGATAGGATCGATAGTGAGTTAAACACAATAGAGATTAACTTTCTCCCAAATGTTGGTTTGCCACCGATCCTAATTTACAACGATACAGGTGTGAAGGTGTATATCGAATTAAAGAAGAAAAACTTGAATTTCACTGAATATCCTTTGTTTGTGACAGTGAAAGAGATATATGAAAATTGTTTGGTTCCTACAAGTTCTAGTTGTGTAGTTGCTACAAGTTCCAGCTGTTTGGTTGGTACAAGTTCAGATTCTAGAGATGTATCAAGAATTGATAGCAGTGAGATTATTGATATCAAATTTATTGAAAACACGAAATTTAATGAAAACACGGGTATAATAGATGATATTTTGGACGAATTTGTTGAGGAAGATCATGTTTATAAGGATAAAGAGACAGTTGTCAGTGTGATGAAGAACTTGGCTGTACGTGAAAGGTTCCAATTCAAGGTGAAGAGATCAAGCGCAACAAGGTATGTAAATAATTGTATATTCTGTTATATATATGTATAAATATGTATAAAGTAGTATATATTTGTATCTAGGTATTAAAATTAGTATATATGTAGTTATGTTTTTGTATACAAGTGTATTTAGAAGTTGAATGATCTTTAATCCTAGGTATCACCTTATGTGTATGGATGAAAATTGTGCTTGGAGTTTCAAATCTTCTGCCGTTTTCAAGGCAAATATATTCAAAGTGAGAAGTTACAATAATAATCACACATGCGGCCATAGTGAAAGATACTTAACACAACGTCAAGCTACTTCGGGTGTAATTGCTAGTATAGTCAAGGACAAGTATGTTAATCCAAAAAAAGTTTACACCGCTAATGATATAATAGAGGACATACAAAAGCAACCCCGGAATTGAGGTGAGGTACATGAAAGCATGGAGAGCTAAAGAGATAGCAATGGCAATGATAAGAGGGAGTCCTAGTGATTCATATAAGGAGTTGCCGAAGTATTTTTATATGTTAGAGCAAACAAATCCAGGAATGGTTACAAAGTTGCACAAATCAGAAGATGGATGCTTTCTTTATGCATATGTTTCGCTATATGCATCTATCAAGGGCTGGGAGCATTGCAGACCAATAATGGTTGTTGATGGAAGTTTCCTTAAAGCAGCATATAAAGGTACCATATTGACTGCTTGCACACACGATGGAGCTGGTGAGTTGAGTGTATCTACCTTGTTTCTGCAGTTTGTATAATGTTGTAGTTTCATGTATAAAAGTGTATAGGATTTCACAGCTACTGTTTTTATAAAATTTGCAGTTGGTATAAAATTGTATAATTGTGTATAACTGTGTATAATATTTGTATAATTGTCTGAATCCTAATATCTATTTTGTATAAACAGGAAAAACCCTTCCACTTGCATATGCAATTGTAGATTCAGAGAATAACAAATCTAGGGAGTGGTTCTTTGTCCAGATAAAGGGTACTTTTGGAGTTAGGGAAGGGATGTGTATAGTTTCAGATAGAAATGAAAGCATCTTCAATGCCACAAAAGCTGTGTACCCAGAAGTACCACATTGTATTTTCATGTTTCACTTGTGGCAGAATGTAAAGCGCACATTCAAGAAACATCACAAACAATTGAAGGATATCTTCTTTGCTTTGGCTAGAGCTTACACGGTAGAGAAGTTTGAGTACCATATGACAGAGATGTGCAAAATTGATCCGAGAGTGCAGCCTTACTTGTTCGAAATTGGGTACGAAAGGTGGTCTAGGGCATATTCCAAAGTGAAAAGGTCGATGGTAATGACTTCCAATATTGCAGAGTCAATTAATGCAGCAAACAAGGATGCTAGAGAGTTACCAGTAATGCGATTGCTGGAGTACATGACAAATTTGCTACAACAGTGGAACAACAAAAATAGAAAAAGTGCAATGGAGACATCTATAGAGCTTGGCGAAAAGTACGACAAACTCCATCGGGAAAATCTGATTGCATCGGAGCAAATGACGGTAAATTGAATCAAATTTAATGATGCTTGGCACTGCTGACTTGCATTTTACTGCTTGTATAAGGATGTATATCTCTGTATAATAATGTATAATGTTCTTTCACTTTTTTTAAAAAAAAAAAAACTTTTGCAGGTGAGGCTTGCCATGGAGAAGTTATATACTGTGTTTGAAAGGTTAAGGCGAAAGATAGTGTGCCTTGAAGAGGGAACATGCAGTTGTGGAAAATTTCAAATGGATGAACTTCCATGTCCGCATGCTTAGGTGGTTTTGAAGAACCAGCAGCTGAAACCTGGCCAGTATTGCTCTTTTTACTACAAGAAGGATAAACTCCTTAGAACTTATGAATTTCCAGTGAATCTGATGCCAGATGAGAGTCTATGGGTAATCCCTACAGAGGTGATGGAAGATGTGGTCCTACCACCTAAAGGGAGAAGGAATGCAGGAAGGCCAAGAAAGGAAAGACTCAAACCTGCTTCAGAAAAAGAGTCTAAGAGGGCATTTTCATGTTCTGTGTGTGGACAAGGTGGTCACAATAGAAAAACATGTAGGAATCGACCAAAATAGCTAGTTGAAAACATAACACTTCCTATTACATTTGTTGTCATGTTGAGTAGTTAAGTTTCACAAAGATTAGAGTTACAAATGTTGAGTAGTTAAGTCTCACAAGTAATTGAATTACAAATGCCAATAAAGATTTACAACTTACGCTATATATTGCAATTGTGTTAAATATGTTTCATTATACATGTTTTGATTATCCAATAATAGTGTGTTGTTGTTTTTAATGGTGCTAAATATATTGATACATTGCACAAATACAAGACAGAACTGCTGGTATTATATGTATACAGATGTATAAATGAGAGTATAAGTTTGTATAAATATGTATAAACCTTGCTACAACAACAAAACTGCAACCATAATGAAAATACATACTTTGTTAAAGGACAAGAGCGACTGATATATTCATTAAAAATTCATTCACAGCCACAATGTGTAATGACTACCGCAAATTACACAAAAATAAAAACATCTATAAAATCCTTTAATGCTATCTCACAAGTAGCAGAATAGTACTTGGACAAAACTAGGCAACAACTCCTGATACATAGAAAAACTACAGTAAAATGGGAAAAACTGAACTACTTTCTCGGTCGCCCCCTCTTCCTCTTCTTGAAAAGTCTCCCTGTAATTTCATCACCACTAATTGCACCGGACTGTTGTTTTTTCCTTCCATAATCCCACAACAGAGATCCCCACCTGGTGCGAAGTGTCTCAATGTCAAAATTATCTTTTCGAATTTTCTTACCAAGGATGAAATACTCAGCAAAGCCAGCAACAAAAGCACCACAATCACTGTAATTAAAAAGAAAAAAATCAGATTCAAATAGGTAAACTAATAGTAAAATAGTAAAACAATTGAGATTAACCTACCATTTGATCTGTTGGGGAACATTATTAACCAGATTAATCTGCAAAGCATCAGAATGGGATTTATCGGTATATGCACCATTGTTCCAATCAGAACTCTTCAAGAACTGTTCAAGAAGTAAGGTATTAGAATTGCATAAGGTAATGCAGCATCCAAAACAAGTCTATCATTAATAGCTCCACGATTAGAATCATAGATGTGAATGCACCTATCTATGAAGGTAAACACCCCCAAAACCCAATGGCCCAATTTTGCTCTTCCCCGCTTCACATAGATAGGGAATAAGACGTGGTCAACAGTGTGCCACGGGACATTTGCATCCCAATAATATCCTCTAATGTACTCTTCTATCTCATGCCCTTCAGGAATCACTGAAGGATCTTGATTCACTTTGAAAACTTTATACAGGGAGTTGATTTTGTTACCAAAGGCAAAGTCGGTTGTAGTAAACCGCATGGCAACACTCGTCCCATATTTTCCTCTCTTCCTCAAATAATAAAAGAGGACATCCAAGTGCTGAAACAAGAAATAAAACAGAACAACCATCACTACCAGATATTTTAAATATAGAAATCTATATACTATTATACAGAGGTATACATATTTATACAAGGTTATACAATCTTATACAATGTTATACAATCTTATATTGTGATTATACAAGGCTATGTATACACTATGGAGGTCTCAAATAATAAAGATATGCAACAAAAAGAAAGGCATTAGAACATAAATTTATTAAATACCGTGTCAATGAAAGGTCGACCACAATATGCAAGTGAATGGAACCAATCCTTCGTAGTCACATTACACGAGCCAAAAGTAAAAGCTTCCGCAAGCTTCTTTACTTCATCGGGATATATATTTTTGGCACTTCAAATCACAAAAAATAAAAAGTAATCAGAACTACATTCATTGACAAGTTTAAAATCAGAACATGAAAGATTAAAGAAAGTGAAGATACCTTCGCCTCGTATCCATCCCATTATCAACAAACGCGCAAAACTCTTTAGCCAATGGCGACAATGGATCAAAATCATCAATTTCGATCGTGAAAGGATGCTTGATATCAAAAATGAGCTTGGGCGCCGATCCTGATGCCCCCGAATCAAAAACTGGCAAATATGGAGATTTGGCATATTTTCCTGGTATTTTCTGTCGAACTGACTTTTTAGGAGAAATGAAATCATCTTCTATGTCTATGATGGATTGTTTGTGAAGCACAATTTGGGACATCTGTAGCGCAGCTAAATCTTCATCGCCAATGTCATCCCAAAATGTGTCACCCTTGACATCACCTGCTGCCCCTTAGACAGAGAAAACAAATAATAAAAAACTTTAAAATGAAGAAAAGAAAAATCAGACAAAAAAAGAAGATAAAATGCAGAACAAATACCATGATCAACACCATCAGTAACTCCCTCGTCAGCTAGCACGTCATCTTGATTCACTTGATTGACAAAGTCAGGAACAACATCATATTGATAGCCATCATATTCGCCAAGACCAGATGTATTGTCATCAGACACACGCTGATGAATATAATAACAAACAATAGAAAGATAAGGCATAACTGTTGAGTGATGATTCGGAGAAGGCATAACTATTGAGTGATTTGGTTTTATCAGTAAACAATTACCTTAGAATCAGTAAAATCCTCCCTCGTTTGCTTGGTTTCCTTCATATTCAGAAAACTGAACACTTTTTCAAAGGAAGAAACTACATAATTGTTGAGTGTCGTCACTGTACCAGTCAACTACAACAACAACAACAACAACAAAAAATCAAAAGCAAATCAACAAAACCATGTTTATAACCAAAAAACCATGTATATACAAAAAGTACTGATAAACTACAGAAAAGCTAAAGGTCCAGTACCTTTCCAACACCACTCCTCAACTTCTCAACTTCAGCATTCAACAGATCAATGCGCACCAAAGGATCATAACTCGGGTTAGGCTGTCGATCCATATTCTGAGGAAAAGGTCCTTTAGACTGTTGCTCCGTATTCTGAGGATAAGGTCATTTAGACTGTTGCTCCATATTCTGAGGACAAGGTGGAGATGCAGCGACAGAATCATCAGTGTGAAAGGCAGGCACCACAGGCACATCCCCTGATGCAGCATCATCGGCATTAACTTCAAAAAGTGTGTCGATGTTCAGAGTTGACAGCTCTTCACGAGTAGGGGAAATGTTCCTATAGTTCAACTACAAGAAAAAAAACTGGATTACAATGGTAGAAAAAGGAAATTGTAACATATTCATAAATATACATACAGAAAAACTGAAATCATATATGAAGAAGTATTATGGTACAAAATGTTTACCTTGTTGATACTACACATGATCACCCCGCTAGTCAAATCCGCATATGTTGGAGTTTCAGTCACTTTCCAATTCAGAATGCGTGGCACATTTATTCCAACGCGAACAGCTAGATGCTTGTCAACAATAGAGCAACACTCAAAAAACCATACTTGTAATGCAAGTGGCAAACCTCCAAGCCTATACATTGTCAATAGTCACACTGTCTGTCCCTCATTGTCCTTAAAATATCTTCAAATGACTTTTTCCCCCAAGCATACGTCTAATATTGACCACTTTCAATGATATCAAAATCATCTTTGTTGATACCATGATTATTGGCATCTGAGAATATGAAATGATGGACAAACACCATCAAGGCCATCTTGAACGCATCTTCGTCCGACTTCCAGTCCTTTTTCTTGAAGCGATCAAGAAGCTGCCCCCTAGTTATAGACTTTTTTCCATCTCCTGGAAAATACTCTTTTAGCAACCTATTAACATCTGGTTTGTCATAGAAAGTGGCGGCGGCGTCTACACACTTCAAACCAGTGATAATAGCAAACTCTCCAATGCCAAAACGCAACAAACAACCATTAATTTGCACCCACAACTCCCTTTCACGTCCTGGTATGACTTCCCTCAATAATATACAATGAATAAGTTGATTTTGAATTTTAAATTGAGGGAGGTCCAAGAAGTACCCAAAACAACTAGCACGGAACATCTGAAGCTGTGTGTTTGTCAAATATCGCTTCAAAACGCTCACAATCTCAGTCTCGGTGTGGGAGCTAATCCTGTTGTGGAAATAATCAACTGGTTGTATATAGAAGTCCCCAACCTTGCAAAAGAAAAAATAACAAGAAATAGATCAGGAACAAAAACTATACTAAAATATTTTATAAAAATATATAAATAAGTATAGCAGAACTTATATAAAGATGTATAAACAGGTATATAACTTTGTATAAAATTGTATAAGCATGTATAAATTACTAGCAACACGGGGAATACCTTCAACTTAGCTTTTCTCTCATTCAATTTGGAGCGAATAGCAAACCTTTGTTCTTTCGATAAGGAATCAAGGCCACTATCACCATCATCCTTGACCTTTCTCCTTTTCGGTTTAACATTGCGGCCTACATCATCTTCGTTAACCAAATCAACTTTCAGCTTTTCTTTTAATTTTTGAGGTCTCCCATATTTCTTACTCCGTATTCTAACAATGTTAACCGGAGTAGGAGTATTACTTATTTGCGACCGAGTCACTCGAGTGCTCCCTTGTTGCAACTTTTTTGGAGGAGGAGGAGACTCAAAATCATCATCGGAATCCCGAACATGCGTTTTCGCTTCAGAAGAAGGTGGTGAGGGCAAGTCACTCGATGATTTAACTGGAGTGGGAGTATTTCTCGTTTGCGAATGAGTCATTCGACTGCTCTCTTGTTGTAAATTCTTAGGAGGAGCAGGAGACTCAAAATCATCACAATGTGGCGCCTGGACATTTACATTAGATTCAGAATCAGGGCTTGAGGGCAACTCCCTCAATCTTTTCGCATAATCTAACTTAACGTCTTTTCCAGCAATCTTCATTTTGCTTTTAGAAGCAACTACTTTTGAGCGCATTTTCTACAATAAACCAAACAACCAAAGCTTTAACAAAATTGAAGACAACTGAAGGAAAACACAAAATTAAACTGTAACAAAACTCAAAGGTTAACCAAAACTAAAGGCCATGAATACAAAGCAGAGGCCAATTTTCCCAAATTGTAACAAAAATCAAAAAATAAAAAATTCTACCCTAAAAGTCAAAATAACAGAGCATGCAAAC